CAGTAGATAGTTGCAAATGATAATTGTTACTGTAATTATAAGGAAAGACAAAATTGGCAATTTCTTTTTTTAAAATTCCTTATCGGATCATCTTTGAGGGGTTATGGTATGAGAACTTTTTCCATCAAAGACTGTAGGTTTGGTTCAGTCCAAGAGTATTTTTATATATATATATATATATAAAAATATATAAAAATATATTTATTAGGGCTCTAAATAACGTGAATTGAAAAAGTTCCTCAAGATGGATATATTGGGCTGATCAAAACCCGTCTTTCAACTGTCTTTTTTTTTCCTGAATGCACTGTATGTGTTAATAGAGCGGGTTTTTTGGTATTTGATAGTTTGTTAGCAGCAGGTGAAATGAAGAGTTGATGTTGACTTAGATTTAAGGAACCAACAATGATACTAAAGATTCAAATGCCAATTTAGAAAGTCAGCATTTGATAGAAAAAGGAAACACTTCATTCAAAACTTAGAGTCTTGTCAAATTATTTCTAAATAATACAAGGATTTCTATATGATCGTGGCTGATCTGCCAAATCTAGTTTACAGTAGAAATAGATTTCTGTGTCCCCACAATAACTTCTTCTGCTATTTTGTGTTTTCCATTCAAATCTCTAATATTTTTTTCTCTTCAGTTCCTATGTAGAGCCGAGAAACTTGAGATAACATTCTAACACTGGAGGTTTTTGAATGGTTATTTAATTAGAACTAAGTCTAACGGTCAGACAGTCCAAATATGGGAATAAAGGGAAGAAGAGCTAACAATGTAGTGAATGTACTTAATTAGTATTTTGCTTTAAAAACAGATATCAACACGAATATTTTCCCTAATTGGGATGATTGGGCTGCAGGTATAATCCACATTGAAGAAAAAAGTGGCAAACTACATTAAGACACTGTAAAAGTTTCTATATTTCATTGCAAAAATGAACGGTGCCAAGAAAGTACCACCCATGTTGTAAAGCACGTATGTGTCCTAATCTGCAGTCCTGGCCTAGACTCTGGACCCACAAATACTCAGCCAGATGGGTTTTCTGGAACAACAGTGCAAACGATAACTCGTGCAACAGTGCAAACAGTGTAAACGAAACTGGTGGCATACCATTCTCCATAGGGGACGTGGCAATCCCAGGCACAAATAAAGGTTGTGCGGAGAATGGCTAGAGAGCAGCCCTGAGGAGAAGGACTTGGGGGTGTTGGTGGATGAGAAGCTCAACATGAGCCGGCAATGTGCGCTGGCAGCCCAGAAAGTCAACCGCATCCTGGGCTGCATCAAGGGAAGCGTGTCCAGCAGGTCGTGGGAGGTGATTCTGCCCCTCTACTCTGCACTCGTGAGACCCCACCTGGAGTACTGTGTCCAGCTTTGGAGTCCTCAACACAGGAAGGACATGGATCTGCTGGAATGGGTCCAGCGGAGGGCCACGAAGATGATCAGAGGGATGGAGCACCTCTCCTATGAGGACAGGCTGAGAGAGCTGGGGTTGTTCAGCCTGAAGAAGAGAAGGCTCTTGGGAGACCTCATAGCAGCCTTCCAATATCTGAAGGGAGCTACAGGAGAGCCAGAGAGGGACTATTTGTCAGGAAGTATAGTGATAGGACAAGGGGTAATGGTTTTAAACTGGAAGAGGGGAGATTTAAATTAGATATTAGGAAGAAATTCTTTACTGTGAGGGTGGTGAGGCACTGGGACAGGTTGCCCAGGGAGGTCATAGGTGCCCCATCCCTGGAAGTGTTCAAGGCCAGGCTGGATGGGGCTTTGACGAACCTGGTCTGGTGGGAGGTGTCCCTGCCCATGGCAGGGGATTGGAACTAGATGATTTTTAAGGTGCCTTCCAACCCAAACCATTCTATGATTCTATGATATAGTAGCAATACCCATAAACCTTATATTTAGAATTAAAAAAAACAACAAAAAAAAACGAAAAAATCAACAAACAAAAACCAGCCATAAAACAGTCCAGAAAAGCTTTGAAACTGAGGATACAAATCTCAAGAAATCTAACTGAAGCAGGGGATTTTGAATTTAACATGAAGTGTACCATATGTCTTTCAGGAACAGGAATAACGAGACATTTAATAGCTTTTTAATGCATCTTACTGTGTCAAATTTGAGGCACATATGGTACACTTCTAACCAAATTTCCATTCTCTATGGTTTTCTGTTGCAAAGTCTAAAAATTCAGTCTTTCTGTTCAAATGCTATTATTATTTTTTTATGAGCTCAAATACAAGTAGTTCATTTTAAAGATGATGTTACATTTTTTGCCCTCAGAGAAAATTTCGGTAAATTGCCACTTAAAAAGGAGTTATACAATAAGAGCTTTAGGTCCAATGGATTCCTCTTCAGAACCAACCATGTACTTTTTGTAGTCAATTTTTTCACATCTTGGGTTTATATCTTGAGTAATTTCCTTTAATATCCACCATATCTTTTGTGAAAGAACTGTCTTGGAATAATTTTTGAATATTTAATAAAATTATGGTTGTGAGCTGAAGCACTTCAGAAGGGAACATTTTAAGGTCAGGGATACATGCAAATTGTATTTTGTATTTGCATATATCTATATAAAAATTTGTTTTGCCCAACATGAACATGCCATCATTTGGTCAATGGTACGGGCACCAAGTGTTACAATAATCCTTCCCTGCCATAGGTAAGCATTGAAAAATGGAACAGATTTTTCCTGCAGTCTCCTAGAAAATCAACTTGAAATTCAAAATAAATTTTTAATTAGCCTAGTTCATAAGTCAAGGGAGTGCTAGCAGCTTTTCAGCCCTTGCATTGTGGATTAATGGTTTTGAATAATATGACTGAGAGAAAGTAATGAAAGATGAATGATCTTCTGATGATCTTACAGTACTGTTTGGCAGATACATTTTTTAATTACACTGATCCAGTTATATTGGCAATACACAGGGTCATGTAATCTTGGATAAACATGAGATTTTGTGGGGGAAGGAGCTTATAAATATTCTTAATTTCATTCTTCTGCATCTGCTTTCTGTCATTGACTATGCAAACTAATGTGATGGAAGATTTAATGCTATTTATGAACAATATAAAGTAGCTGAAGTTTGTTTGAAGTCATCTTTTTAAAATACTTTTTTCCCATTTGCTTTCCAGTGAGGCTGTTGGAGGAATGAATCAATTGTAATTGCAGGCTGTTAAAACAAGAAAAGGCTTAATATCCTTGTACCTGTTTGCGTTGATAAGTTTTATTGCTGGGTTGAATTTCTGATTATTATTTGTTTTGAAATGAGATTCAATATTTGTGTAGCATTTTTAGGAAATTAATATTAGCACTAACTGACAGTAACGATATCAGGTCCCTTTATGAATAAGAATTTAACTTTAGATAGTTATGTTTCCAAAAGAGGAAATCTATCATGGTACAGTTAGAGCATAAAATATGATTAGCAGATACTGGTGATGTTTGGGGTTTTTTTTAATAATCTGTTTGGGCAAGTACTTTCAGGCTTAATCTGCAGCCTTCTGTACAAAGTCAATTAGGATATCCATTGAAAGGTGTATTTTATAAGTAACTGTTTTTTAAAAAATGCCACAGGGAAAGATGCATCAACAAGCACTGGAACTGTTAGAGTGTTTTTCCTGATCTGTTTCCACCTGTGCACTCCTCTCTGCTCAGCTTCTTAGATCCTCTCCTGCTGCTCTGTTTTGTATTTTCCAAATGAAGCATAATAGTATTTTAGGTTGGTTAGGTGCATCGTCTTCCAACATGTGATAACACATGGAGTCAGAGCTCCAGTGTACTGTCATTTTCATTCATTGCATTTTCATAGCTCTTGGTACAGTGTACAGAATTTCTTCTTAGTATCTAATGTAAATCTCCCCTCTTTCAATTTAAAACCATTACCCCCCAACCTATCACTACACTCCCTGACAAAGAGTCCCTCTCCATCTTTCCTGTAAGCCCCCTCTAGGTACTGGAAGGCTGCTATAAGGTCTCCCTGGGGCTTTCTCTTCTCCAGGCTGAACATCTCCAAGCAGTTTCAGTTGTGCTTGAGGTGTTGGTGGGGCACCTAAGTAGCCCCCCAGTAGCCAAGCCTTGCAGGGCAGAGTGCCTCAAGCCATCTCCCTCTGCGGTGGGAAGCCAGGTGGTTCTCCCTCAGTTATCTACTTAACACCATGATGTGGTTTATTCCTTGCCCAAGACAGACATCACTTGTTTACATGGGCTGATCGTGCTGCAGCGCTCGTCTTTTTGTTGGTTGCATTCTGTAGAGGAACAGTTTCACGAGACTTGCTACTAGAAATGAGCTGGGCACGCACAGTGGCTGGAAAGATCAACCTTGCCAAGGCCTGCGTTAGAAGATGATATGAATGTCATCATCCTTGAACACGGAAAAGTTCTTAGAGAATGCTGATTTAATTGGTTTGTTGTTGTAATTTGCCTTGTTGTATCTTAGAGTATGTGTACTTGGGAGGAGATTTTTGTGTTGGTTTTTGTTTGGGGTTTTTACACAGAGAATCCCATATTGTTAATACTGATTGTGGTGTTTCTCTAGTATTTCTTTTTCCCTGGATCTCCGTCTCATCTTCCATGAGATTCTAGGCTGGCTTACAGATCATATTTTAATTCCCAAGTTTTGAGACAGTGTAGCTTATCCATGAGTTACTTGCAAGTAACTTTATATTTCTGTGGTTTTAATGGAGGAAAGATTAATTAAACTTTTAGGTAAGTTTTAAATTAACTGCTGTTAATTCAAATTTCATTCTAGCTTAGCTATTGTAAATTTATGCATAAATACTGTAAAAGGTACTTAGTTTAAATACTTCATCGACCGACAATCTTACTTTTTCAATATGATCATTTGTTTCTGTATGAAAAATGACAGCAAACTTGGCTTCCTTATAGATCTATCTTACATAGAAGCAAAATACTGATTTGTAATCCCTTTATATGGAATTGTTGTGTGTTTGTGTCCATGCCTAACTTCTGTTTCTTTTTTTTTCTATTCTTTTATTTTAAAAGGTATTTCTCAAGAGTGACCGGGTTGCAAGAATGGTCCACAGCGGAGGATGTTCTGCAAATGACTTTAGAGATGTCTTTAAGAAAAACATAGAAAAGAGGGTCCGAAGTTTGCCAGAAATCGATGGATTAAGCAAAGAGACAGTGTTAAGTTCGTGGCTGGCCAAATATGATGCCATATACAGGGGAGAAGAGGACTTATGCAAACAGCCGAATAGGATGGCCTTAAGTGCTGTATCGGAGCTAATTCTGAGCAAGGAACAGCTTTATGAAATGTTTCAGCAGATTCTAGGGATCAAAAAATTGGAACATCAGTTGATTTATAACGCCTGCCAAGTAAGTATTGGTGTCACTCGGTTCTCTTGTGTTCGAAATATCTCCCCACCACCAACAGCTCAAATGCTTCCTCCCTGTGTGCAGAAGCCTTCAGTTTTAAGTACAAGTCCAAGGAGATGAAACCCCCTCAGGGAGGAATCTTTGTATCATTTGGTCACTGGAGAGCACTTGGAAAAAGGCTTTGACAGAAAACACAGTACTTAGACAACAGGGATCTCCTGACAAGTTTTATGGTGTCACAGCGCCAGTAATTTGGGTGATTCTGCAGAATGTTCTATGGTCTATCTGCATACCCTTATATAAATTGCATATGTATGTTTGTGCATGCATTTGTGTGTATGTATATATATATCTTTAAAAGAAATTTGCTGCCATAAATAGATAGGTGGTTGAATTCACGGTGCTCTTGGCCATCCAGTGTCTAGAAGTTCAGTATGTTGGAACTCAATGTGCTTCATTTCAAACACCATCTACAAAGCTAATTTGCACATTTTTACTTTGATGTTCTGTTGGATAAGAATGATGTTCCCCATAAATTACTGAGGCAAAGGCTAACAGTCTGTTCAGCAATCATAGTTGGATTTAAATGTATAATCTGTTGCTAATCGGTAGTATAAATGGTACGTAAAAATATTTTGTCTGGCCAGTCTTCATAGTGATGCAACTATAAAATACCAGTTACTTAGGGAGGAAAAACATGAAGAAAGCATGGTATTTTTTAAAGTCTTGCAACCAACCAGTGTGGACGTGGCATTTAAACTGAGCTCACACAGCTTTCTACACTGTCTATAAAATAGTACACAGACTACAGCTAAGCCGTTTTTCATATATTATGCTGAAGTCTGGTTTGTAGTTATGGGCCTTCTTAATATGGGAAGAAATGAGGAATCTTGGACATTGTTGCCTGCTTCATTTATGGAGTAGTGTGGCATGAAATCAGGTAACTGTTCTATGATTGAAACATCTGTGGTGGTTAATCCTTCTCAGGGTCATAGATCCAACTTCCATAATGAGAAGGTGTAATATTTTATTCTGCATCAAATTACAAGGGCTTTTGTTTTCACTGCCAGGGTGGAAAGAGACTTCTGAATGAGCAGTATTTTGAATGAAAAGAGATAGAAAATATTTCTTTTTTTTTTTTCCTGTTTGCCCCATCTTGTTCCTTTTGTCTCTTAATTCACATACACGTATATCATGAAGCTAACCTCTGGGATATGCTGGTTGGTAACAGAATGAAGCAGCGCTGAAATCTTGGATGATAATCTTGCTTATTTGGGGTTTTTTGTATAATAGAACGTAGATGCATTAGGAGAATTCGGTTTGGAAGAAATCTCAGGAGGTCATTCAGTCCAACCTCCTGCTCAAAGCAGAGTCAGCTGTGATGACAGAGCAGATCACTGAGGGCTTTGTCCAGTCAGATCTTAAGAGTTCCAAGAATGGAGATGACCTGTGCAAACTTTGTGGGCAACCTGTTCTAACACATGAAAACATGAAAAAAACCCTCTTTTTTTTCCCCACAAAAGCAGATAACTTGTTACTTATAGTAGAAATTCCTTATGGATTGCTCCCTTTTCTGGTGTCTGATGCCTGCTAAATCTTACTTTATATGTCACTGAACGGTCAAAATCTGCTGTTAGTCTGCATTGTGCTAGAGGAACACAAATGTACATGATTGTAGAGCTTTGAACGATTAAACAAAAACCAAATTGTTTCTTTAGTCTGGAAGTGGTTCTGATGACATAGTCCATGAAGTTCTTGTTTTTGTGTACTTGAAGGCTTCTTTGTTTTGGTTTTTGATTGTAGGAATGTTGATGGAGCAAAGCTGGTTGGCAAATATCAACAAATTCTTTTATGTTCTTGGTCCATAACCTACAGAGACACTGAAACATTGCAGTGGCTCATTTTTGTCTTCTACCATGGTAGAACTTTGAGCACTATGTGATGTTTTTTCTATTTTTTTTAATTGCACATTAAAGAGGACATAGCCTTGTGTTAGGTAGGAAAGGAGAAGGAACGATTGATTATGTTTATGTGTGCAAAGATAACTCAGTGGGTTTAAGAGAAGACTCTTCTCTTGCTCTTTGAAACTGAATGTTGTGAAATCTCCTGTGCAGGTCTCCAAAGTACACGGTTTACCCTGGATTCATTTAAATATTGGAGGGTGGGAAGGAAAAGAGGGGTAAGTCTGCTCTTGGGAGCAGATATAGGAGCACTTACGTGTTTCAAGCTGGGAAGAATGGAGAGGGAAAGGCTTCAAGCCTGTACCCTTCTTGTTTGGGGTTCTAGCTTTCTGAAGACTTAATTTTTTAAAGGAAGGATGAAATTACTTTGCTAAAGCCAAAGCTTTCATTATGTACTCCAACAGAGTTGGTGCCATCTGTACATTTTATATCCTGTTCCTGTGGTCCAGTCAAGCACATAATACACCAAAGGTATGAGGAAAGTCCCTTTAAAAGAAAAAGGCAACAATCGTAGCCTTCCTAGGATGTGTATTGCAGACAGCAACCAGGCTCTGATAATGTAATGCCTTTCCTCCTTTGGCAAAATCCCTTATTTCTCATTATCGTTTTAATAAATATTTTAGTTTAGACTGTATCTTATTCCTTTCTATTGACAGTGTATTTATAGAAGATGAGATGAAGTTAGACTTGGATTTCAGTCGGCACCAGCAGTTTTAATTCTGCCCTAGAAGCCTCTATCTGTCTTTATGAAAATGCTCACTTTCATTTCCTTTAGGTGCTGCTGTTTAGAATACTAGAGACTTACAGATAATGATAATCAATAGTGTCTGGGAGCAGTCAGATAAGTGAAAGTCCAAACAGATGTTAAAATTGTATTTTTGATAGAGGTTTTGATGAGTTGGCTTCCAGCCTGTGCTTCGAGCAGAGAATCAGATATATGAAATTCTGTATATTTTGCAGCTCTGCAAAACGGCTGCCCTTAACATCAAGTCTGTACAGTTATAATTTGTGCAGAAAACTGTCTTTTTCTTTTCCCTTTTTTTTTGTTCCTTCCAGCCCTTTGGAAATAGGAAACAGAAAAATGTCTTAGAATGTCCATGATAAGAGTAAATTATCCTGCACCTACAGGGCTGCTAAGCAGACAAGGATGCTATTTGTAACAGCAGGAGGTATTGTCTGCCAGCCTCCTCCTTGTGACTTTCTCTGCATTTAGAAACTTTTTATTGGTTTTCAGCGGCTTTTGCTCCCCAGCCTGTTCTAAATGGAGCATTCCCTTCAACTCTTAAACCCTTGGGTATCTTGCAGCAGCTCATCAGACAGTTCTGCTAAGGTGTGGGTTACTGCAGGTCCACACAAGTTGCCAGTCTCCATCCTTTTTGTGATAGCAGTGAGAAACAGTGTTCAATCAATCAGCGCAAGAACTTAATCAAAAATAAAAAGAATAGTCATAGACCAGCTCTCTGACATTGTCAAACACAGTCCACGTAGCTGTGAGAATTTTACACATTTCTCTTGGAAGAACAACTTTTTGTCACAATCTCATAGCATATTCTAAATACTTAAGCTTGTCCTTAGGTAGTGAACGTTATCAGGATGTTCACATTAGGGTGTTGAAGACTTCTTCTAAGATCTTATTTTAAACTTTACTACTCAGAGGAAGGCCAGCAACTGCTGCCAACCACCTATATCGTTTTGTGATTAAAAGATTCCATTTGATAAGTGCTGACACTTTCACCTGGTTTTTATTTACATTGTGTTGCCTTGAGCTGTTTTTTATGATAAAGGAATGATTGCCAGTTAGTTGGAACTTAATGAGCTCCTTGACTTGCTTTTGAGATGTCTGGCCACAGTGTGTTGTAACGATTTCTTTGATTTATAGAGATCAAACATGATAAAGTCTTTTTTCTTTTTTTTTTTAATTACTCACTGATGTAGAGGATAACTTTCATGCAGAAAGTCAAACTGAAAGTCAAACTCAAACTGATGTGTGGTCATACACTTTTATTACACCACTTCACCAGCACCAGAATTTCTGTATCAGGTAAATCAGCACTCTACGCAGAGTTAATTTTGTTTTGAAAGTACATTTATAATGTTGACTTTTTTTGGCTCATCTAAACCCCTTGTCTTGGGTGTGGGGAGGAGAGAACAACACTGATCTTCACAGTGAAAGAATTACTGCAAGTCACATTCTGGTTTCTGACAGGTAATAAATAGTTTTGAAAATAATGTAACAGTTTTTAAGAATAATTAATTGCTAAGTCTTCTACTGTTGACTTTTTGGGAATCCACCACAAACTAATTCTTCTGGAAATAGCTTTAGATGGTACTTTGCTGCAAGATATAATTTTCTGTTTAAAAGCCTTACATTGCGTCTGGTTCACATCCTCTATTATCTTCAGCTTTTTCAAGATGTAACTCTTTGTGTAAGTGTCTCATATTGATAATGATGGACTATATGGCATCTTCCATAATAATTTTTGTATTTTTAATTATGAGAATATTTTCTGTCAAGAATTTCTCCTGAACTGAAGTTTGCTTATGGTGCTCAACCAGTTGGACTCTTTCACCCACCACTTCACTGAAGTCCAGTTAGTTATGCAGTTTTGGAAATAATTCAAATTAAGGGCAATTTAATTTGCATCACGGCCTTCATAACTTTTGAGTGTTTGTAGTTCTAATCCTTTGCTCAGTAAAATCATGAAAAGTGGTGCCGTTATGTAATGGATCACAGAATTTCCTGTAATTCTGGATATTTTCCTTAAAAAAGCTTTCATACCCTGTATAAGTTATAGGGACAAATGCAACTTTATGAAGCGTGAAGAATAATGATATCTTTGTACTGAAAATTTCAGTGTGGTGTTAATAATCTTCTTCTTGAAGTAATTAAATAAGTGTTAAGATTCCCCTTAGTACATAGACCAAAACTTAAACAGATTCATTGATTTTTTTTTAAGTTGAGGCAAGGCACAGGAAAAAAAAATTGGTTTTGGCTGTGTATTATACATGTTGCATAACAGTATGTGTTTTATATCTGAA